GCAAATTTATGACGTGCATAACCCCATTACCTTTGCTGGTAAATGTAACTTCTTTTCTTGAATCGGTTATCTTTTCAGTTGATTTCTTCGAAATCTTTCAAATTCAGGCCTCAATAATCAATTTTTTTTGCAGTAAAACGATAGCAAGCTGAAACCAAAATCTTCGTGACAAGGTCTTTCATCGTGATCTCTTCTTCCCTATCACATCGTTTTTCCTTCCCAATTTTCTTTCTTTTCTTCCCGTTTTTCCCTTTTCCATGTCATAAAATCTGCCCAACCTCGCCCTTTCAGAAGCTTTTCATGAGCTTTCATCGCTTTTCATTCACTATGAACTACTCTTTAAAAGTGCTGGTCTTTATCTTTTTATTCTTTTTTAATTGTTTTCAAAAAGTTGTTGACTATTTCAAGAAGAGCAATTTTATGACACAAATTTATGTGATTTTGCAGTTCCAGGTATTTTTCAGATATTTTTTGTTTCGATTGAACGTGACCGTTCAATTTTTTCTAATTTTTCTGAATCCTTAGTCTGTTTCGAAGCGAAACAAGAATACTTTGGAATCTTGAAAAGTTACAAAATGATGTTAGAAAGCATCGGAAAAAGAAGCACTCGATATGAATTCGGTTCGTCTTTTGAAAAAGAGTTTTAAACAAAAGAAATCTCAATTTCAGATCATGCAGGAGGTGATAATCATCTTTCACAAGGAACATATTCCATCAACGAAAGAGATCATCTGAATGTGGAAATGGCTGAAAAAAGAGAAGCTGATCAAAAAGAGCATCGCTATTTTGGTGGTTTGATTGGGAATAAGGAGGTTTTCATTGCTTCTGGTGTGGCTCTCTGTATGTATCTTGTAAATGGGGAGTATGCTCAGGTCAGCCAATTGGAATTATCTAGAAAATATCTGGAAAAATCGTTTTTCAGGCAATTTGCACTGCTCTAACTTCTGTGCCTCCTGCAGTTTTCTCCTATCGAGTCCTTATCAACCAGCAGACTACCAAGCAGGGATATGTTAGTGTTTTATCATTTTAGGATAAAATTCCTTTTTTTCCAGCACACAATCCTTTTTTATTGGACAATTTACGGCCTCATTGCTCTTATCGATCAATTCGTTGGAACTGCTCAAGGATACAATTTGTGCAAAGCCGGTCTGCTCAGTGTGATCTTCTTCCATGCAATTCGTTCGAACGCCGAATCCATCCCACCTTCGTGGAAATTCCTAGATCAAGCCAGTGTTGATGTTCTCACAACCTTACTCACAAGATACGATTCAAACGGCTTTCTAGCCAATAACAATTCAGAATGTAATCCAAGAACTCCAACAATGACCCAATTCAGTGACGATTCTCTGCAATACTTGTTCCCAGAGTCTCAAATCTCTGAAACGAATAAAGTGGAGATCAGCACTGCGTGTAGCTTTGTTCCATCATTGGAAATGCAGAGTACTCAACGGGCATCTGCGGAGTCTGGATACATTCAGAAGTCCAACTCTACTTCATTGAAAACTATGATGATGGAAGAGTACGAATCATCGAATGGGAACCACACTTCCATCAATAATGAAATCAACTTCAAATCTATGTCAGCTATGACGATGACCTCTGGTGAAACTAGCGATGTTGTTACGTTCCCGGCGGACCGTATTACTTTCTCTGCGAATAGTCGAGAAGCAACTATTCAGGTTACTAATGTCTCTCCATCTCATTTGATGTTTGCTCTCAAGGTTTGCATCTATTCAATTATCTCAACACACTTTTATTTTTCAGACAAATGCTGACACATATCTCATCGCTGCTCCGACTTCTGGAGTTCTCTATAGTGGTCAAAGCATGACGATTCGTGTTGGAGTGACTGAGCAATACTTCGAGGAATACACTCACCCCGGTGGTTCTATCGATAAAGTAAGTGTCTTGTCATTTGTATAACCAGACAAATGTTGATTTCAGCTGGCTTTCGATTACACTGTCATCTCTGGTTCGGACTCATCGAAGTATTCCAACTTCTCACCAAACTTTTTCCAATCTCACTCCAAACGTCGCCTCGCAATTCGTGTCTACTACCAATAATGCTACACGTCTTCTGTTTAAGTACTCTTTTTTGTGTTGTGTTAATTGCATGAATGTGTGAACTTGAAGCTCTTTGTTATAAGATTTTTTTCCAATTCAAAAAATCACCCGGATAAACCAGTTCACCAGAACTTCATCAGCGAGAAATTGATTAGCTGAAGCTTTCATAGCGGTCTGACTCCGCCCATTTTTCCCAGGAAAAATTTTCCCCGGAATTCGCGGTGTCTCTTCATCTCGAAATTCCGGGGAGAACTTTTTCTGGGGAAAAAATTTCTCGGGAAAAGTGGGCGGAGTCGGGGGCGGAGCCTAAATTGCAACCCTGGCACGGTTTTGCCGCACGGTATATTAGCACATTTGGATGCGGTCATGAGAAAAACCATGCAGAAAAACCGTGCCAGGGTTGCAATTTAGGCTCCGCCCCTGACTCCGCCCACTTTTCTCCGGAGTTTTTTTCCCCGGAATTTCCGGGGTCTCACGCACTAAAATCAGGTTAACTTCGCGCCCCACTGGACGGTTTCAAAACGCGCGAAAATTGGCTGCACTCAAATGCGATTTCTGTGATTTTGCACACTCCCTCGTTGCCTAACTCGGTATCTGTTCTAAATAGCCTAATCTGGTTTTCAGAAATGGTTGCGCACCGCAAATCTGATTTCCATTCGAAATGGGCGATGGTTGTGACTGTCAATGGCTTGAATGAAGAAAAACGGGCTGATTTGAAGTGAGTCATCATTATTGAATTGAAATTATTTTTTTCGTTCAAAATTGAATTTTTAGAAAGTTTGCTGGATGGTTTATGGATACATTGAGAATGGAAGGTTCTTTCATCGGACATTACTTCAATTACGATGTAAGTGCGGTTTCTGTCTGCTATTTTAAATGCTATTTTGTTCAGACCGCACCGGTGACAATCGTTGAAACTGAGCCAAACAATCTTGAATCATGCACCAATGCGTATCAACAAATTCACAAGGTTTGTTTAATTTAAATGTTTTCTAAAAACACAAGTTTCAGGATCATCCGCAAGTCGTGCTTGTCGTTCACATCCTTCCACAAGCTCAATCTGTTGAATACGAGTGGATGAAAGTTTTGGCGTCAAGATACGGCTTCATTCGTCAAGGAATCCTCTACGAGAACTGCGTCAACCGCTTCCAGAATGTCGATTCTGATCGGAACAGCGTTTTTCGAAATATGTGTCAGTGGTTGTACCGAAGCGGAACAGCAATAATCAGGAACGAGGGAAAGTAAGTTCTATTTTTGTGGAATTTAATTTCGTAACAAATTATTTTTCAGTAATTGTGGAATTCTCCATGGAAAAGATCCCAAGCCGACTTTCGAGAAGGTTCTCTTCAATAGTGAAGACATTAAGGAGGCCGTCTTCAAAGTTCTTCACAAAGAAGATGAGCCAAGAGGGGCTGAACTGGAAAACATTGTCAAGGTCAGCGGGTTCCCGGAGATGTTGAATGCATTCGGTGTGGCACAACTTCTCAGCCCATATCGTGTGAATGGCGTTACAATGAATGGTCCGCAGTGCGCTACTGTAACACTGGAGAACAAATTTCAAGTTTATCAAGCCGTCCAAGAGTTTCATGGCAAGAAGCTCGACCGTAACCATAAGCTTCAAGTTGTCAGCAACGTCGTATCTTCTCCTGCTGCTCAAGTCGAATCTCCATCGTTCAGAGATTCTAAGCGTCACATTGAAAACCTTATGGGAAAACTTAAAGTATCGTCTTGATATGTTCATACCCGACTTCAAACTCAACGATCCTCTCTTCCCGTTCTCATTTTTTTTGTAATCGACCTGACCGGTTCATTTTTTAATTTCTTATTTTGTCTCTGATGAATATGTTGCCTTCTTCCCACAGAAAAGTACAGACAAATTGTTCACAATGACATATATCGATTATCTACATTTTTATTTTTTCTTCATCTCACTTATTTATGCCACTTATTTCGGACAGTGAGCACAATGAAAGATGACCCTCCATCCAATCTGAGCCCTTCTCATGAGTCCTACCCTCAAGCGGATCAACCTTCAACTTATTCCCATCCCGATGATTACGAACCAAGCACTAAGCAACGTAGGAGTACAGTTACGAATTTTGAATTCTGAAAGAATATTTCAGTCAAAGTTGTTGGCTCGTCTCGTGGTAGAATGACACATCAAATGCGTCTTCCCATTATACTTCCAAAACTGCCAGATAAGCCTTCAACATCACAAGGCAGTGCGGCGATCCGTCTGATAAATGCTCCGCCAGTAATACCTCCAAGCGTTTCAAATCCACGTCCGCTGATTTCACTCCTCGATCGAACGGAATTCAGAAACCCCTCTCGTGTGATTCTGGCAACACCGCCAACCCAAAAACCAAAAAAGTGTTATTACACAGAATTGAATGATATTAGGAGAGAATTCGGAATACCCGAAACTTTTGATACTGCTAAGCCGAGTACAATGAGTGCTGTAGGTGCGTGGTATAAGTTTGAAACCTGAAACCAGACTATGAATATTCAGCATTGTCCGAAAAGCTTCAGTTGCTGCAAAGACTGCGTGGTGAAAATAAGTTTCTGCAAGAATCGATTCAGAAGAAGCAGAACGCGTGTCAGGGAAGGAGCTCAACAATTGCAGAGATCCGCGAGACGACCGATAAAATGATTCATCAGAGCCAACTACTCAGAGAAACGTTGCATAACATTGAAGAAGAGAACGAACGATTGAGAAGGCAACTGAACTAAATTAACGACTGATCTCTAACTCATGATTCATTTATTCTCATAATTACCGTTCAAAAATTTATTATACCGTCGTTTTTCTCAAATGTCTTTAGAGTAATGTATCCAATAGATATGATAAACGGGGGAAACAAAGAAAGATTAAAGATTACAACGAGGGAACATCATCCGAAACAAAATTTTTGAAAATTTTGTATAGAAAATCATTATAAAGCACATTATAGAATCCGCGAAAGAACACACATGGATGAGAAAACCAATATTAATTATCAACAAAAACAACAAATCTTTTAGGAAACAACTAAATATTTATCTATGCTTGATATTTTTTCTTTTGCGCGTCGTACATTTTTTCGAACTTCTTCAACTGACTTTTTGAGATCTGCAAATTGAAGAAAAATTACAAAAACCATTAATAAAGGATATACCTCTTCTCCGTTAGCCAAGTGTGTTGGTACTCCTCTCTCGTCAAACTTGGAGAACTTTCCAGCATGTTCACCTTGTTTGAACAACTCTTCAGGCTTAATCTTCTTAGATGCAGCTTCCTTATCAGCTTTCTCACGTGCCTTTTGCTCTTTTTCAGCCTTCTCCTTCTCTTTCCTCTTCTTTTCATTCTCCTTCTGCTCTTGCTCTCTCAACAATGTGGCACGATCAACAAGCTTCACAACGGTCTGTCCATTTCTGTCTTCCAATCGAACACCCAGTTCAGTCAGAGTTTTATCCCGGAGATTGTCGCACTCCTGAATACCGAATTTTTATTTAAGTTTTTTTTCATTTTAAATACATTTATATAATTTTCTGTCTTCCGACTTGTTCGGGAAAAAACCATCATAAAGCGAGAAAAAAATTGGAAAAGTACAAAATTTTCTTCAGGCTACAGTAGTTTTCGTTCACATACCATAGCCATGTCCGCCAACTTTCTTCTCATGCAACTCTTATTGTCTTGGACTGAGATAATAGACACATCTCATGAGGGGATTTGTAAAATTTGAATCCTATTTCAATATCCCAAGTTAAAAATATCCCGCATGTTTGACAACAGAAAAATGACGATTTGTCAACTTTGTGTACCTCTAAAATTCCATTAACTTTGTGCTCCTTTGCGATAATTCGGATTTTTTCACGGAATTGAGCTAGAGCGTCGAGATATGGCATAACAATGTCTTCTTTGTTGAACGAAGCTGTTGATCCTTCTCCGTTGCAGCTAAACAAACATTGATTTTTTTTCCAGATTTTTAATATAAAATGCTAATGGGGTTATTCATGTAGCGAAAATATGTATTGAAATGCATTTCCGCGCCCTCGAAATTCAATGCATGAGCGTCGCGAAATGTTTTCAAAGCATTTCGCG